TGTAGCTGAAGTGAAGGAAATGAGGGATCCCTGAGTTCTGCATTTCAGTCTTGAGGCAGTTTAAACTGCAAACGAGCTTTTTCTTTACTACCGGAGGCAGTGGGAGCCAAGGCCCTATTTAACCCTCTCCCTTTCTCCTGATTTCAAGTTTATACTTCTCCCAACTACTTCTTTACCATCAGAGACTTGAAACATAGCAGTAATCTAGAAGGATCCTGTTCGTGACACAAAAGCACTTCACCATATTTCACCGTAACACTGCCTAATGTTTTATACCTAATAAACTGCCTCTTCTGCACATCTCCTGGGAAGAAAATAAAATGCAAGTGAAAGCAAGGCAGGGCAGCCAGTAGTGCATGTAAAAAAGATGCAATTAAGTTATAGCACATTCACAGCCATTAAGGAAGATCGTTCTGGGCTAACCCCATACACCTGCTCTTTTTGAGACACACACAAACACACACAAATCTGCACTAGCTTCAACAGGTGTTTCCTTGTGGCGTAGAAATAGCTCGATCAGGATCTTTCTCTAACAGCAAGTTATAGCAGAGTTTTACACCATCACAGAAAGACACCAGCATGTACACACTATTCCACAGGAACAGAAAGATGTGTGCAAATACATTTTTAATATAGGCATATTAATAATAAAAACATACAAAGCCCTCCATTGGCTTAATCATCACCAGATACTCTCCCTTCTTACTCTTGCTATCTATAGGCTCGCTCAGCCAGCAAACATCCTTTATGCTATCCATCTTCCTAACCTGAATGTTAGCAATCAGATTCCCTCAGCCGCCGGGGAGCTGGGCTCCAGCGGGGTCAGATACGATGGGGTTATTCATTTTCTGACACAATGAAACAAACAGAATATCCAGCACAGATGCAGCGAGACCAACAAGTGGGCGAATGCAGAAAATTCACCAACTTCAGGGCCCAGGAGATTGTGAGCTAATTATTTAGACTCTAATGTCACATTCCCCAGGGATGACCTTATATTTGTGTTAGTTACATGACAGCCCACCACTGCTCTAAGGGTATTGTTGCAAACCAGCCAGCCTGGGCTGTACTTCAGGCCACTTCTTTAAAAGTCTTCATCTGAGGAGGCCCTGATATTAAGTCACCGCAAGGATTTCAGAGATTCCAGCATTTTATCTTTATTTTGCTAAGGCAGAATCCTACACATGAAAATACCATCTGAGGAGAGGCACACCCCATGTGGCTGTTCTAACTTTTAAAACACTTGCAAATTAAACTAAAAAATGCGAAGGTTCCGAGATGCTGCCGGTCTGAACACACTAGCCCTCGCCCATACGCTTCGGGTACTCGCAGCTCAAAACAACCCAACTTACTAGAATCAGGCAAGCCGTGACACCATCGCGGAGCCGTATCCCAGGGCACTGCAGCGGTTACTTTAGGCGGCACAGCTCTAGCTTTCCGACACAAGTGTCTCGGCACGAAACACACGTCTTTTCTAATTTTCAGAAGTGCTCAACAGAGTTTTTTGCCCTATAGAAGTTTTCTACAGAAATGGTGCGGCTGTAGCAGGCCAGCTGAGGCCATGGGCTGCTTTACAGTCCCACAAACAAAAGTTTAAGGTGCCTGAATGTGGAATCTCTTCTTTAATGAGTGTTTTACTCGGATAAAATCTTGAGGATGGTAAATCCTAAACTGTGACTCAAAGAAATAAAATAATTTGCCATAATTCATATGCAAAATCTTCATTTAGTTCTTTCTCCTTTTCATGCATTTAAAGACCTTTTCTCGACTGTAGGTAAATAACAGATTGCAGAGCAGTAAGAACTACCACAATCTCTCTCCACCCTCCAGCCAAATATTTTAGAATTAATTCAATGGCAGACGAATAAATCACAAAACCCTTCTCTGAGTCAAACTTAAAGACAAATTATTTAGCTCAATCTAATTCTGACTAACTCAGAAACCTCTGAAAAATCCCTGAGGATTTTACCAACGCCTAACTAAACTCTTGGGAATAAAGACCTGATTCAGGGCTAGGAGTTGCTCTCATTTCTGTTCTTGTTGTCACCACCAAGGATTGGGCCCAAGCACAATCACTGCCCACAGCAACTCTGCCGCAAACAGGAAAGAAAACGTCTGCATTTTTTGTTGTTGTTCCATTTCTTTCATGGGTGAAATTTCACTTTAAATCACATAAAGTGGATTGTGTAATAAACATGCAGCATATTCTTCACATAACCACATCACATTAACTTTAGGATTCAAAAGTATCATGGGCTCATCTTAGCTGCTCAGCAGGTAAAAACCTTCCTAAATACAAACAGTGGAATCCGAGCTAGGAATTAAAAAAGAGAATAGTGATAGATAAAGATCAGATAGTAATTTGTTACCATAGGCAAAGCAAACAGTTTTTCAGCAACAAAACAAAGCACTTATTTGAACCGAAAAATATGCAGACGTACGGCTGCACACCCTCAGCGTTATACATGAGCTCTGAAAGGTCCCAAGTGCTTTGCCAAGCGGCACGCCAGTGTTTATTATCAATATGGACAACTGAACCAAAGTGTTGACGCCACGAGTTCTCTTCAGCCCGCGCTTGTGTGCTAGATCCTGTACAAGCAGCAAGCCTGCAGAAAGGGTCAGCATGCTCCGCTATGTGCAGCCCCAGCGTGCAGCACCGCTGCGGGCTTGTGCCAGGCTGTGATGTCGCTTCCCTTGAGCCACCTTCGCCGCTTTCAGGGCCTAATGCAAACGTCCTGGATGGCCCCGAAGGGCTTTCTGCCGATTTTACTGGGGTTTGGATCAACTCCTAAACTCCTGGCCTCACGTCCCAAACGTCGCATTCATCTAGCACTTCAGAAGCGGTTGCAGTCTTGCCCGACTCCAAAGGCGAGCGCGGGCGAGC